AAGTGACAACGAATGTTGCTTCAGTTTCCATTGAAGTCACTATCAGAGAGGAAATAACTATAAAGGTCGAGGGGAATATTCTGATGGTTAAAGTAGAAAGAGGAAAAAAAGCAAATAAAACCTGAGGACATGGTTTTAGTGGACATTCAAGAAAACTAGGGAGAAAATATAGAGATATTAGCCTCCAAATATATATATTTTTTAAAAAGTCAATAAAAAAAGGAATAGTATCAGTGGAATCAAATATCAATCTTCAGGAAGGGAATTAGAGTAAGCATTAATTTTATTTAATATCTGCAATTCGGAAGATCCTAGAATCTTCAAGATCAAATGATGCAAGGAATATATTATCAAAAAATAGTCACAATTAATTTCTAAAATGAAGATGTTTAAACCATCGTATTGAATACTTTGAAGAATTAACCGGAAGTGTAGGCGAGGGCAATGCAATGAAAGTGCTATATTTAGATTTCCTGAAGATATTTTACAAGGCAACACATAGATCTGTAATAAAGGAAAGTATCTGTGAAGTAAATGACCAAATATTAGAATACTTGCATGATAATTTCCAAATGCTGGATAGAGGAATTAAAGGGCCTTTTTTCTGACTGGCAAAGTCATTTACTAAAATGTTATAGAATTGAGAGAATGCAGCTATCAAGTAACATAGAGACAGGAGTAGGCCATTCAGACTACAGTCTGCTCTGCCATTTATTACAATTATGGCTGATGAGACACTTCAATGTTCTTTACCCACATTATCGCAATAGGTCTTTATGGCATTGGTAATCAGAAATCTATGAATCTCAACTTTAGACATACTCAAAAACTGCGCTTCCATAGCCTTCTGTGTTAGAGAAATCAAAAGATTCACAAAACTCTGAGCAAAAGAAAATCTGCTCCTCTCAGTCCCAAGTGGCATCCACCTTATTTTAAAATTGTTCCCCCAGTTCTGTACTTATCAATTAGGACAAACATCTTGTCTGTATCTGTCCTGTTTTTATCCCTTGAAGTATTGTGTAGATTAAAATGGAGTCACCTCTTATTCTTAGAAGCTCTAGAAAATGCAGGCCCTGTTTCCCCAATGTTTCTTCATAGGACAGTCCAGCCATCCTGGGAACAAGTCTGATGAACCTTCATTACACTTCTTCTGTGGTAATAGAACTTTTCCTGCAGTAAGGAGACCAAAACTGCACACAGTACTCCAGACAAAGTCTAACCAAGCTCCAATACAGTTGAAACAGGACTTTACTACTCATGCACTCATATCTTCTTGTGGTAAAGGCTAACATTTCATTAGACTTCTTAAAAGCTGCTGTACCTGCATATCAGCCTTCAGTGACAAAAACATCTAGGTCTCTTTGTACATCTACACGCTCCAACCTCTCATAGTTTATGAAATACTCTACACATTTGTTTGTCGAAACCAAGTAGATAACGTCATATTTCCACGTGATATTACAACCACCATGTTCTTGCCCACTCACTGAACCTGTCCAAATCTTCCAGAAGCCACTTTACATCTTGTATCATCTGCAAATTTGGAAATATTTCATTTGGTCCCCACATCTAAATTACTGATGCATATTATAATCAGCTAAGGCCCAAGTACTGATTATTGCAGTACCCCACTAATCACAGGCTGTCAACATGAGAATGACCCATTTATTCTTGCTCTCCTCTGTTTTCTCACTGTCAGCCAATCATTAATTTGCAGGAATGGTTCCTGCAAATTTGAAGCTAGCAAACATTACCCCACAAGGGAGTGAGACAGAACACTGGGAACTACAGACCTTGCAACAATTCCAGGGAAAATACCAGAATCTATTATAAAGAATATGATAAATGGACACTTGGATAATAATGGGAGACAACAAGGTGCAGAGCTGGATGAACACAGCAGGCCAAGCAGCATCATAGGAGCAGAAAGGCTGACGTTTCGGGCCTAGACTTGGATAATAATGATCTGATTGGACATTGTCAGTAGGGATTTGCGAATTGGAGTTTTTTTTAAAAGGATGTTATTAATATATTGATAAGGGGGGAGCCAACAAAAATAGTATGCTTGGATTTCCAGGAGACTTTAGACGAAGTCCCCACAGGAGGTTGGTTAGCAAATGAAGGCACATAGTTTTAGGAGGTAATGTTAGTTCTCTCACAACAGTGACTTGAAAGGAATTTGGGGATTTACATATACATATTAATCAACTAAAACCTTCTGACTGATTGACGATTTAACGGCATCTTAGGTTTGTTTAATACATCCTCATAAGTGGTGTGACATTTTGATCTTTTACTTATAAATTCTATGTCTGATACTACCTCCCTCACTAACACCTGAAGAAGAAGTGAGACTCTGAAAGCTTGTGTTTTTAAATAAACCTGTTGGACTATAACCTGGTGTCGTGTGATTTCTGACCTTGTCCACCCCTGTCCAACACCAACATCAGTACCTCCACATCCTCCCAATTATTGTCACCACTGTATCCAAGCATTCTGCCTCCAATCCATGCAATTGACTTACCCAACTTCTCTACCACAGCCATTGCTCAGACAGCCCCTTGACTTTCATTGGTCCCTGATTGATTTCTGTGTAGCTCCCTGGCTGACTTACCCCAAATCCCCTGAATGGTTGCATTGGATCAGCAGGACTGATCGTGGCCCATTCCCTAGACTAATACAGACCCTCTGACCCTAACAGCCTAAGCTGTGTTGAATCCATGCAAAAACATCTGATGTGGCCTTTGGCTTGCTCTGCTGGATACCCTAACTGAAGGTTGTCTTTCTTGACTTGAGCAAAGACTTGAGGCATGGCCCTTTGGTTGAGGCACATGCAGTGTGTGAGGCAAATACATTGATGGTACATGGCGCAGATGTTACTTATCATAACATAGTGCCAGAAAGCAACATGTCTACGCCCTTGACAGATCTCTGCTGGCAACCATGACAAGCTGCCTGACTTTGTGTATGCACCAAACAGCAAGTCAACGTAGAAGTACTGTGAGCCTTTAAGTTCTGAATGAGGAAGACAAAGCACAAAAGGACAAGACAGGGCAGGGATGTTATGAGAATCAAAGTTGATGCAAAGTGATTGAGCACTAAGACAACTAGCAAGTGGCCGAGCCAAACATCCTGTCCCACTCCATGAGGTGGGTGTTGGTCCCTGTACTGAAAGTGTGCTGGTGGCAACATTACAAGGAAAGGTGCCTGTGTGCTCCAAGTGTGGCATTGAGGGGAGACCTATATTGTAATTGGGATCAGCGATGTGCAGTGAAGATGTGGAAAGGCTGATATGTGTCTGATGCCTACCTTCATGGATGGGTGGTCACTGTCTTTGGCATGTGCCCTGTGATGATGATCATCAGTGCTCCTGCTCAGCCTGTTCAGGTTCTGTGCATGGCACTCACTGTTGGCATGCCAATTGCAGCAATGACTTCTGCTGCATGTGGACCTTGGAGGCCCATGCAGCTTAAACAAAAAAATTAGAGGGAACAGTGGTGACTCATGCCCATTAACGGCTAATGCATACAAATGAGCCTCTTACTGCTCACTAGTGGCATTCTTGTCTTGCTGATCAAAACTTGGTGCATAGTGTCCCTACAGCGTGGAAGCAGGCCGTTCAGCCCATTGAGCCCACACTGACTCTCTGAAGAACCTCCTACCCAAACCCATCCCCCTAACCATCCCATGGCTAATCCATCTAGCCCGCACACTATGGGCAACTTAATATAACCAATCCACCTAACTGCACATTTTTAGACTGTGGGAGGAAAGCAGAACACCCAGAGGAAACCTACACAGTCACAGGGAGAATGTACAAACTGCACACAGATAATCACCCGAGGGTGGAATCAAACTTGGGTCCCTTGTGCTGTGAAGCAGCAGTGCTAACCACTGAGCCACCGTGCTGCTGGTTGCAGAAGCAAAGACTTTGTCTTCACGATGTTGAGAATTTCATTTCTGCTGATCTCACCATATTTTCCCAACGTATGTTGACGTTAGTTTCGGAAGCAGGTTTTGGTGTAAATGGAGGCACTCATGGAGATAAATGGTTTACTGTGACAGTGTGATAAAAGAAAGTCAATTTTGTAGTTAGATAGGAGGTTAGAACAGGCTTTATCTCCTCAACCCTCTCTTGATTGACTATTCTGTTAAGTGATTCAGAACGATTCGAAGGGTCTTGATTTGCACTCACAGTAAGGGACGCTTTGGAGAGTTGCAGACTCCAGATAATTGCTTGTCAGTGTTTACAACTTTAAAAGACAATTGGATATTGCTGGCATATTTTGGCTCCATGGAGAAGAGTGTGAATAAAATTGTAGGTCTGTTTTAGTGCTTCACAGTTTTTTTTGACAAAAACACTTTGGTAAGGACCAAATGTTAAGGCAAGCTTAACATTCAGTTAATTCAAAATGATGAAGAATTGAAATTCAGTTTGCAGTTTGACTGATGCAAATAGCCAAATATGTTATGAACATGGCTATAAACATAGTTAAATCTCTGACTAGGAGATAGCAGGAACTGCAGATGCTGGAGTCAGAGATAACACAGTGTGGAGCTGGAGGAACACAGCAGCCCAGGAAGCATTAGAGGAGCAGGAAAGCTGATGTTTCGGGTCGGGACACTTCTTCAGAAATGGGCTGCATGGAGAAGAGTGTGAATAAAATTGTAGGTCAGTTTCACATTTCTGAAGAAGGGTCCTGCCCGATACGTCAACTTTCCTGCTCCTCTGATGCTGCCTGGCCTGCTGTGTTCCTCCAGCTCCACACTGCGTCATATCTAAGTCTCTGACTATTTGTTTTACAGAACATAATTTAAAAACCATTCCAAAATATATTAAAATGCTAAGCTCATTCTGTAGTATAACACACAGTTACAATATAGCATAGTTGTCATTTGTTTGCACATTGAATGTCATGAGCTGCTTGCTATTTCCTCAATGCTATATAGTTCATACATCCTAACATTAATAGAATCTCATTCTTTTCTCTTATTTTTAGTTTTCAGGACTCTACCTTCTGTCTTTTTTCACAATCATTCTTGGATTAATATTCTACTCTTCCACTTCAACATATGTGGCTCAAGATCCACGTGTATACAAGCAGTTTCGTAACCCTGCAGGCCCTGTAGTAGAGATGCCAACCACTGGACAAGTGGAGCCATCAGTGACATACTCCAGCCTAGGACAGGAGACTGAGGAAGAAGCCCATGTTCGAGTCTCATGAGGATGCATCGAAGACGCTCCCTGCACTTCAATGTCTTTGCATTCCGGAATTTCTTTTTGTTTACATCACCATTCCCCCTAATTTTGGTTTACTACATTTTAATATTTATTTTTCGAACCAAATTTCTAGAATTCTTTTTACTAATTGTAGAGTTTAGTAAACTGTAATTTGAAACAATTCGGTTTAACGTGTCAGTTCACTGACTAAGAGTTTTTAAGTGGATTGCAATCAATTGATGGTTTTAAAAAGTGCCATCTAAAACATTTTTATAATATAGTCTATATGTCACTACCACTGTCTGGGAATAAGGGGATTTTAACAGAGTTTAAATATGCACTGTATTTTTTTTCTTAATTCCAGTCATTCCCATCTTTTTGCACATAAATGTTTCCATGTTAAGGCCATCTAAGAAATCATTGAAGGGTGATGTTATCTTTCTATATGAAATGCCATTATATGACCTCTGAACCTGTGTCATTCTAGGGTGGGCTATTGTATAGTTTAGAATTTGCTAACTTGTGCTGTTAACATTTTGACAAGTTGTGTAGTACCTTTATGTTGCTTTAACAATTAGTATTCTTCACAGTTAGATTACAATAAGTATGAACTGTACCCCATGGGTAGAAATCTGCTGTAAAATAAAGAAAAGATAATAACAAATACGGTTAAACTCAACACCATTGTAAGAAAACAAACCAAAAAATGCACAGTTCAATTGAAAGAAGCCCTTTATCTTTTTTGATATCTGCATGCTCTTTATGGACTGGCTTTGGCAATGTAATGCCTGTATGATGTTTTCAAATAAATGCTTTATGAAAGATAATATCACAACACAGACTCCAGTCCAGTACTTGCAATGATCTCTGAACAAATCTATTTTGGGAAAAAAGGATATGTTTTTCTGTATTTACAGTATTAAAACTTCAACTGACAGTCATTTACGTCAAACAATAGGAATTGTTGTGACTCTGGATTTTATGGCCAATTGCTAATTTGAGAAAATGTCAGTGTGAATATCTGTGGTATATTTTTTGGCAAATGTGGTTGTCTGTGTAAAGTGTAGGCACTTAATTATATTTTTGATTAATTTAATGATTTGTTTCTCATTGTTAACAGCCTCAAAAGTAGTATCACTTTTAAAGCTGAAGTTCTCAATAGACATCATTGTCTTTGTTGAGTCAATCATCAATAACACCTAACACTTGAGTCTATCAACCACATTTAAACAGTGATTTGTTCCAAGGTACAAAAATAAATGTCACCTCTGTCATCCCACAGTAAATGTAACACTGTTGTCTGAGCCACAGAACAATAATGGCATCTCAATTCATCAAATGGGAGTTATTTCCTACATACTCCAGGTTAAATAAGAATATATATTGCATGTATATAATATATATACATCTCTATATCCCATATATATATTCGAGTATAGGAGTTGGGAAGTCCTGTTGAGGTTGTACAGGATGTTGGTGAGGCATCTTCTGGAATATTGTGTCCAGTTCTGGTCGCCCTGTTACAGGAAATATATTATTAAATTGGAGAGGGTTCAGAAAAGATTTATCAGGATGTTGCCTGAAATGGAGGGTTTGAGTTAAAAAAATTGGTTGGGACTTTTGGGGTGACATTATAGAGATTTGTAAAATCATGATGGGCATAGGTAAGGTAAATAGCAAAGGCCTTTTCCCTAGGGTGGGGGAGTTCAAAACAAGGGGGCATATTTTTAAGGTGAGAGGAGAAAGATTTAAAAAGAACATGAGGGGCAACTTTTTTAGACAAGGAGTGGTTAACGTGTGAATGAACTGCTGCAGGAAGTGATAGATGCAGGTACACTTACAACATTTAAAAAACATTTGGATAAGTATATGAATAGGAAGAGTTTGGAGGGATATGGGCTAAATGCAGGATGTGGGACTAGTTTACTTTGGGAACATAGCTGGCATGGACTAGTTGGACCGAAGGTTCTGTTTCCGTGCTGTATGACTCTATGCCTCTAAATGTGGGGATGGGTACTAAGGGTGCTGGTTTTATCACTTCCTGAGGTTTCCAATTACCGGACACATATGATATGTCTGGCAAACTACATCCTTATGCAGTCCAGGCCAAAACAAAAATGTTTTTGTAATTTGGTCTGAGTTTTCATTACTCCCAAATGATCTCCTACTGGTAATTCATGTGCTACTCGCAACGCCTCCTTTCTATAACCCACCAGTAATACAACTTGATGAACTTCTGCCCATTTCTCATCTGCCTGAATACATGATTGACTTCATTTCCTCATCAAAACTTCATTTTTAAGGTAGTAAATTTCTGGGATACACTCAGATTCTACTATGTGTATGCTTTTTGACACAATTGCTTTAGTTTTTCAGCTTTCCATTGTAATTCAGCTCATTTCTCTGAACTAAAAATATCCACTTTGTCCTCCACTTGTTCTCGTTTATTTCCCAACTATTTGATTAAACATAGTTTCTGATAATTGAACTTCAGCTTCTTTATCTCGACTCCTTTATTTCTCCTCCTGTTTCAATGTGTGGCTTTGTGACCTCAGAGGGAAAAATCCCAGGATATACTTACTGTAACACCTCAGTTTCCTGATGTTCCACTGGCTTTTCAACACAGTAGCCATCATTCCTACTTGTGATGCAGCTATATCATTATCAAGGATTAACTGATTTCTGGAACCAAGAGTTTCTCTATTACTCTTGTCACCAGACTCTTCAATTTCACTTTATATCATTGAGCACTGCTCTTCTCACTGTGAATTTCACATCATAGATAACAGAATCCCTACACTCTGGAAACAGGCCCTTCAGCCCAAGTTCACACTGACTCTCAGAGCATCCCACCCAGACCCGTCCCCCTATAACCCACCTAATCTACACATCCCTGAACACTATGGTGTTAATTTAGCATGGCCAATCCACCTAGCCTACACATTTTTGGACTGTGGGAGGAAACTGGACCATCCGGAAGGGGCCCATGCAGACATGGGGAAAACGTGCAAACTCCATACAGACAGTCACCCGAGGGTAGAATTGAACCTGGGTTCCTGATGCTGCAAGGCAGCAGTGCTAACCACTGAGCCACCGTTCTGCCACTAGTATCACTTTTTCTGGCAAAACCCTTTCGAAATTACATACCTCCTCATCTCTCACCATCAAAGTTTGACTTGCTCCCATATCTTTTAAAATTTTAGTTTCTTTACCTGCTCCTTCTGGCATCCATGAGTAAACCTTATACATGCAGGTTAATTCTTTAAAGAGATGTGGCACTTTCTTCTGAACCAACCCCTGATCAAGTTTTTTTTTTGCATCTTTTTAGCTTCCTCTGTGCTTTCCTTTACCAATTCAACAAAACTCACTGGCTTGTTCTGTTTTCCCACATCAGTCTTCCCAGCGCTTCCCATTGCGAGTTCATGTGGATTACTTTATTACAGTGAAAACATCTGAGCTTTTTTACTTAAGAAAAATCCCGAGAAAACTGTGGATGCTGGAAATCAGAAACGAAAGCAGCAATTGCTGGAAAGACTCAGCAGGTCTAGCAGCATCTGTAGTGAGAAATCAGAGTTAACATTTTGGATTCAGTGACCATTCTTCAATGAGATCTCCTTTTCCCTTAACACCTGAGGACTTCTCCTTTCCCCAATTTTTCTATCCCTCACGGACTGATGTCGGAAGCTAAACTTTGGTTTATGAACCAATTCATAATCGTCTGCCATTTCTGCTGCCAATCTTGCAGTTTTAACTCTCTGCTCTTCCATATGCATTCTCACTACCTCAGGAAGTGAATTTTTGAGCCACTTTAAAATAATCATCTAAGAGCATCATATGTTTGATCTATTTTTGATCTATCTCTTATCCAACTTACAAAATTACTTTGTTTGATCCTTTCAAACTCTATATACATTTGACTAGGGTCCCTCCTTAGATTCCTAAAATGTTGTCTGTAGGCTTCTGATACTAGCTTATATGCACTTACGATGGCTTTTTTCACATCCTCATAATCCCCAGATAGCTCCTCTGATAGTGATGCAAATACCTCACTGGCTGTACCTACCAACTTTGTTTGGATCAACAATACCCACATAGTCACCAGCCACTTCATTTATTTAGTCATTCCCTCAACTGAAGTGAAAAAGACTTCTATATCTTTTTCATCAAACTTGGGCAACACTTGGACACGTACCCACCAGGCTGTGTTAGCTACAATAGGATTGCTCTCCATCACTCCCTCATCAATATTCCCACCTTTCATCTCTACCTGTACCATTTTAAGTAGACTTTGAGTTTTCAGTTCCAACATCTGATGTTCAAAAACTCTCCCTTTCTTCTGCTAGGGCCTTCCTCTCCTTTTCTTTCTCGTCAGCTTTCAATCATAACTCAAACTATTTCAGTTCCTATTCATGTTCAAGCTGCTTCATTTGCAATTGAATTTTAGCCATTTCTAATGATTCTGATGGCATTTCTAGCAATTGTAAATGTCAAGCTATTGCTGTAATTATTTCCCCTTTGCGCACGGACAAAGGCAACACCAACTCCAGCTTGTTTGCCAACTCCAAAAGCTTTGCCTTGCCCACTTCCTGTAAAACTTGTGAAGTGACTTCTTCCACCCCCAAGGACACTCTTAGTTACTGAAAGAGCCATTATAACACAAGCCACACCTATTTAAACTAATTGAATTCAACACCCAAAAAGAGAACACCAACATTCACCACTCACAGCCGTTGAATCCAATAGTCCTAAACCTAACCTGGAATTAGAGACTTTGATCCTGCCAAGAACCCCCAGTTTGTTATGGACCAGACCAAAACCCCTCAAAACATATTAGGAAGGTAGACTAGACTCTAAAGTTTTCTTATTTTAAAGGCAAGTGCCAGGTGTGACGTCCCGGATGTAATTTGATTGGTCAAACTAGCAGACTTGAAGGAAAACACACTTTATTAATACACTGTAGTCAACATTCAACAGAAGAAAGAATTGGAATAACGTAACTTTATTGGAAATCTTAACAGAGTAATACGTTATTTAACTACTAAAGAGTAACTGTTCTAATCTAGTAACATCCCATAAATATACCTTTGGCAAAGTCATATTCAGAAAATTCATTGTCTGGCATGCAATTTTAGCAGCAAGAAGAGAACCCAGCTTTTAACTGTTACAGAGAGTGGAAAAACAGCTTTCATATCCAGCTTTAAGATCCCAGCAACAATTGCTACCAAAGGCTGAAACTAAATAAAATTCTGCCTCTGTGGGAACTTGACCCCACCCATTCAGGCTGCTTCTATTTTTCCAACCTAAAAAAAGCATACCCCCAAGGTCTCAAATGCTGTTTATTGGTTCTGTAGCAGACTGCTTGTCACCTCTGTCTGAAACTTTCTTCATAAAAAAAAATCAGGATAAAATATACCCCTTAAAGCCATTGTACTGTCACACGTGCATGTTAACATTAAGATAATCCTGAAATAGGATTCCTAAGTCCCTTTGTGCTTCAGATTTCTGAAGCCTTTCCTTATTTTGAAAATCGTCTATGCCTCTATTCTTCCTACCAAAACACATAAACTCATACTTTTCCACGTTGTATTCCAGCTGTCACTTCTTTACTCACTCTCCTAGCCTGACCAAGTCCTTTCGTAGCCTCCACACTTCCTCAAAACTACCTGTCCTTCCACCTATCTTTGCATCATCTGCAAACTTACAACAATGCTCTCAGTTCTTTTGTCCAGATCATTAACATATATAAGGTAAATAGTTATGGTCGCAACACTGATCCCTGCAGAACTCCACTAGTCACTGACCGCCATCCT